TGCTGGTTCTGGGGGCATGGGTGGAGTTTGGGGCCTTGGGGGTGGGGGTTGCTCCTTCTCAATGCTGTCCCTCCTGAAGCTATCCCCCCTTGGCTTCATGCCAATATCCCTATCAAATCCCCTCGGATCCCTATTGTCGTAATCAAAACTGTTCCTGTTGTCAAACATTCTGTTCTCATGCATTCTGTTATTACGATTATCATAATTCCTGTCCATTTTATCATGGTTGAAATCCCTGTCCCTATCATCTCTCCTATTTCCGTGTCGATCACGTCTGTTGTACGAATTATCATAATCCCGATTTCGGCCTTCATACCGGTTATCCCTGAAATCCCGATGATCATGCCCACGGTCGTTTCTATCTTTCCTCCAGTCGCGACCGCCACGCCCACCTCTGTCCATTCTGTCGTACCCATGCCCGTCCCGACTATCTCTCCTGTCGCGATTCCTGTAGTTGTGTCGATCATGGTACCTTCCAGAATCCTGCCTGTGGAAATTTCTATCATTCTGTTGAGCATGATGAGGCATGTTGTTTGAATTAAAATTAGGGGGAGGTTTAGAAAAGTCTATTTTGTTAGGATCATTATATAAATCTTTCTGCTGATTGAAATTATCCTGTCCACGGAAACCTCTCCCACCCCGATTTCCGTAATTGTCATAGCTGTTGTTATTCCCTTGGTTTCCAAATCCTCCCCCAATGTCATTAGGTTGATTGTTGAACCTGTTATTTCCTTGATTGAACTGGTTTGGTGGAGGGGGAAACTGAAAGTTGCTTCCGGCCATGTTTGGGGTCATAGCTGGGGTCAAACCGGGAGTCAATCCTGTATTTGTAATGTCAAATGAACCTTTGTTTGTATCTTGGTTGTGCGTAAAGCTACCCTGAGAAAACGCAGACATGGGGGTCCCTGACACATAGCCAGTATCTGCACTGTGATGGCTCATATTCTCTCCTCCATGAAAGTTCAGATTTTCTGGTTTTCGTTGGTTTTGGAATTCTATTTCTGGATCGTATGCCTCCTGCTCGAATCTTGCCTCAAAGCTCGAGTTTCCAGACATTGATGACGACAATCGTCGATTTCTGGGGTCCGTGTTCTGAGCCACTGGAGCAGGTACAGGGGGCACGGTCACCTTAGGCTGATCAGACAGCATATCCTCAATGATTCTCTGCCTCTCTTTTCCTGTAAAAATCAAATCTATTGTTAGAAACAGCGTTTCATTATATACTGTACATTCTCTATCAGGACATTGTTCTTTAAACTTCTATAAAAATAATTATACCAGTACATGCATTAAACTGATGTTCCAGTTCATTTAACTAAAGTAAAGGTCCTTTTACAAGGCACATGAATATCTAATTAACCACCTCTGCAACAAGACTTCAATTTTGATGATTTCTAGGACACTGTCATAATTTTGCTCTTTTATACACTTTATCGAAATTTTAGAGCGATAAAGAATTGGTGCACTAACATTTGCGCCAAAAAAAAACAACATTAAACTTGTTGATAAAAAGTACATACAGCATTCACACAGGGGCATATGAATACACAGTTGTCATACAAACAGTTCAGCACATTACATGGGAAAACAAAGCTAAGTTACATACCACCAGAGTCAACATAAACACTCATGATGTTTCCCATTTTGGAGGTCTGGTTCAATTTGTCTGCACATATCTTAGCTGACTTTGCTGACATAAATATCACCTAAAATAATCAACACAATCAATAAAACCAATTATTTTCAAACACATATGTGAGAATAGATGCAGGATTCTCCTTTAAAGTAATGATCCGAGACAAAATACTTTTCTTGCCAATTATCCAACTTTCAGCAGTTTAGTTTTCAGTTCAGTTTACCTTTCCTATGCCCATGTGCTTCTTGTTCTTTGGATTATAGTAAATCTTGACTTCCTCCAGCAACCCAAACTGTTTGACCATGTTTTCTAAGAAATCCTTGCTGATGTTGTCATTTAAGTTTGTAAATGTCACCTCATTTGGTGGGGGTTCACCAACATAGTAGTTGTCATACTGAAAAATAAAACCCCAGAAAAATTATTTTTATGAAAAAATCAAGATTTTAATCCATTTAAAATTGTATGTAATATTATGCACTGCCACTGCATATTGAACTCTGATAAGTGAGAATGCAATTTGACAAACAGCACAACTGGCAGTGATCAACTTTCCCTGTTAGTTTAAATTCAAGTCAATTACGTACATGTAAATGTACGAGAGAATATTTACTGCAATTGTCTGCCAACATACTTGAAATGAATTATGGAGAAAGCACTATAACCATCCCAGAGGTACTTTTAATCCCTAATTAGAAAACTTATTGAACAGTTACTTCTGGTAGTATTCTTAAATTAAAACCATGCTGAAGAATTCAGCTGCCATGTTACAAAAAAAAAACCTTTTCTGAAGTAAATTACATTAATCCTTTAACACTGAAGTATGGAGCAAATTAAAACTGCACAGGTCTTATTTTTGTAGAGAATATGTGTGTCAAAAAAGATCATCTCAGCATATACCTTAAATCTAGGCACAGGTAAATCTGCAGGCATTCTTTGACTCCATAACCTCTGTAGTCGGGATCTTGGGTCTCTGACATGTACCAGTCTATTATCCTACAAAACACAGTTTTACCATAAATTTACTCTCTTCACTGTAGATCACTAAATTTTCGTGACATCTTATTTTCAAGAGAGAGTCATTAACTCTTCCCTAGTAAGATAAAATTTTCACTAATTGTGGTTATTGTTCTAAAGTATCTTAACGAAGGCTAATAAATATGAGAATGACATTTTTGCAATCATACTCTGGTGTAATTATTACATGAAAGTAAAGTTCTTGTGAATAAAAAGTGATTTAAAGTACTGTTTATATACAGTTCATCTGAGCCTCTAACATATATCTGTATTTAAATTGCTTGTCAATTGTTTCTTCTTTAAAATCTGGAGGACACATGATAGGTATTTTATTTTTCTTAACTTTCATGACACAACTTGACTAATTGGATATAAGTCACAGCAAATTATCCCCATGTAAAATGAACCAAACTGAAAATAGAGATTTTGGACAGTGTATCAAACTGACAAAAATATTTTGATGTGATACTAGGTCACTCCTCACTTTATGCATAAAAAGGGCAATAACTCAATTAAAAAAAAGACTGTGATTAATATCCAACAATCTCTATAATGTGCAATCTTTAATAGATGACTTTTGCATTTACAGAAGTCATCCCCCTTTCCGGGGTCAATCCGGGGTCAACAGGCATAAGGCACTGTTTTCTTCTACAACCTTTAATACCAAATTTATGGGTCAGTATCTTAAAAATAAGATCTGTATGAATATGTTCATTATGTTTTTCATGTTGCCCCCATACTCTGGCAATACAGATACAGATCGAAATTGTCCGATAACGTTTGAGGATAAAAATATTAACAGGTAACTTGCAAAGGAAAAAGTGGAAAAAATTAGCGTTACGCCGACGGGAGATAACTCTTAGGAATGTGAAATTTGTCTATAAAAGATACAAGTTAGGATGCCCTGAAGAAAAGTATCCTGTAGAGATAGTTTCCATATGACATTCTCCCCTTCAAAATAATTCCCTTGGCTGAAATCTTGGAGACCAAATCAATGAATTTTCCTCTTTGAGCAATTTGTGTCAGATACATAAGGGCAAAAATCTTTAAAATGCTAAAATTATGATTTAAAGAAAACATTTGGTAAAATATATTTGTAGAAAAATATGTTATCTTCACCCAGTTGGCCAGTAAAGCAAGCTTCATTGGCTGAATGAGCGAAATTGGGCTTGTTGACCCCTGATGTGGTGTTTATACTGATTGAAATGGAAATAGTTATTTTTCATTGGTCACCACATTGTAGGTACACAAGCCCAAATTTCTTCATTAATTAACCAGTATCAATTTGTCATACTGGGCAGGTGAAGATATTTCATAATTTTAGTATTTTAATGATCTTTACCCTTAAATTTCTGCCATACAAGTTTAAAATATTGATTGCTGAAAGAGGAAAATTCGCAACTTGGACCTCCAATATCCCAGATAAGGAAAGTAACTTGTAGTAGAAATATTTCATGCAAAAACTATCTATTGTAATGACCTATTATCCCATTAAAGGGAACTAACTCATTCTGGCATAGAACACTGAAAGACCAAAAATGAGCAAGTAACAGCCACACCACTCAAATTTCATCATTTTTGGCAGATGTTTGTCTCAAAAGAATTATATGATCCTCCACGCCATCTCACCGTTGGATCAACGCCCTCAAATCTGTAGATCTTAGTGGATCCTCCTCTCAGCATAGGATCAACCAACAACTTGTAATTACGCCTCTTCTTATCTGCTTCCATTGTCAGCTTTTTATGTTACAAACCTGAAAAAGAAAGAAGAAGATGGTAATAATGAAACAAACGATGGCTAGAGTTCAGATCCTGAAAAAATTGTACCCAACAAAAATGTAAACAGTAAAAATGATGGCAAATAATCTCACAGTATAAAGGGTAAAAGTATAATCCAGTTTTTGGGTGCCTGATATAAGTTTGCAAAAACTTAACAATTGTCTTATGTAAATAAAACATAGCTAAGTCATTCAAACTTAAAATCGCGCGTTATCAATCATTTCTTCCGCCCGCAGAGACAATTTAGTGAAGATCTTTCAGTTACATCTTTTCAGAAATCTTAGCTATCCCAGAATGCTCTCTTCGCGTAATGCTAAGCTAGGGTTTTAGGTATTGTGCATATTTTCGAACAAAATATGTTGAAATATTTTGAATCTCAATAGAATAAAAAATGAAGATTGAAAGTAGAAAAATGTAAAAATGTTGAAAAGTATTATTCAATAGTGATTAAAGGAATAAAATAAATGATTTCAGTCGAAATCCCAGCCTATGTTAGACAACTTTTCATTGGTTAAGTTTTTGGAAAACCCCTTCAAACTCAACCAATCAAAAGACGCCTACTGGAAAACCTTGTTATTATGAGACTTCCAGTTTTGAGGAAACACGTGTATATTTACAACTATGGATAGTCAGAAGAAAATCAAGAAAGTTATTAAACTTGTGGCAAAAAATGTCAAGGGTATGCTCAAATGTTTACAATGATTTTTTTGTACTTAATTTGTGGCTTTGAAAGACTGACTCAAGTCATATGCATCAGTCCCCATCTGCACATACTTTTAGCAGTTTAGTGATGTAGACAGGTAGAATATAATATTGTATGTGCATATCTGAAGTTAAGGTAAACCTTCAGTAGGCTTTACGTTTATTCCTATACCCCTAGATACCTGACCCCCACCCCTCAGGAATTTCCAGGGTCCATACAGTCTATGCCCTATTTCCAGATCTCCATTGCATTTTTATAGATTTTTTTTTTAGATCAATCCAATAGTTATTTTATATTCACCTTTTTCACTATCAAGGATTAAAATGAGATCTTCTGCGCAACTTTTTATATGATTGACATAATAGATACCCCTTAATAAAAATGCTCAAGATATTATATACAGTGGAGGATCCGGCACCCTAGCTCATGTTTTAATCCATGATTAGCGTTAAACTAAAACTAGTCAAAATTAAGGTACTGCAGTATTTTTTTTTTTAATTTGTAAATAATGAACAATGAAAGAAGGTATACATTTGCTATTTTTGAAGATAGCTAGATCAGACAGAGCACACCATGGATCAAACATTCTGCATAATGCATTAATTGGGGGTGGGGGATGATTTACAAGCTAGGTGTAGAGATAAGAATTCTTACTCTATTTAAGTCATAAATCAAAATCAGTTTTGGAGCAACAAATAAATGAAACTGTAACTTTAAAAATAGAAGATATGGGACAACAGATTTTAGAACGGAAGAACATGTATAGTTTGAAAAGGGGATGGTTATAAGGAGAGTAGATATGAGACTAAAAAATGACAAATTAATCCTTAAAAAAAAAACCAGCAGTTTCCCTCAGGCCATATGCTTCTAAATCTTATAGCTTCTTTTTCTTTTACACAGATATCAAAAATGTGTCAAGGAAAGATTTAAGTACAGCATTCCGATCAGCAATAAACAATCTACCAAACACTGAAGTCAGAGAAGAAATTGAATACCAGTTTGAGAGTTATCTGAATGAGCTACAAAGGTAAAGCTTTAAGTTTACATACCATTTTTAGGTCACCTGAGTAACTCAGGTGACCTATTGCTATCCGTTTTCGTCCGTCGTCGTGTGTCGTGCGTCGTGTGTTAACAATTGAACATTTTCAGCTTCTTCTCTGAAACCGCTGAACCAATTTCAACGAAATTTGGTATACAGCATCTATGGGTAAAGGGGAACAAAAATTGTGAATTTTATGGTCCCCGCCTCCCTGGGGCCTGAGGGGTGGGGCCAAAACCACTAAAATTATTGCAATCTTTAAAAATCTTCTTCTTTACTCCTGGACATCAAGCAGGCAAACTGATGGCATGAATGTAATGAGCATTGAGTCCTCTACCAAAATTGTGAAATTCATGGCCCCAGGGTCAGGGGTTCTAGTGCTAGGGCGGGGCTATATAGATTATATAGTGAAAATGCATTAATTCTTTGAAAATCTTCTTCTCTGCTCCTGGGTATTAAATAAACTAAGCAAGCACATAGTTATGATAAGAAAGAGTGCTTCTACCAAAATTGTGAATTTTATGACCCCAGGGTCAGGGGTTCTGGTGTTAGTGCGGGGCTCTATTGGTTATATAGTGAAAATGCATTTATTCTTTGAAAATCTTCTTCTCTACTTCTGGGTATTAAATAAACTAACTAAGTACATAGATATGATGAGCAAGAGTGCCTCTTCCAAATTTGTGAATTTTGTGGCCCCAGGGTCAGGGGTTCTGGTGTTAGGGTGGGGCCCTATTGATTATATAGTGAAAATGCATTAATTCTTTGAAAATCTTCTTCTCTGCTCCTGGGTATTAAATAAACTATCCAAGCACATAGTTATGATGAGCAAGAGTGCCTCTTCCAAAATTGTGAATTTTATGACCCCAGGGTCAGGGGTTCTGGTATTAGGGCGGGGCTCTATTGGTTATATAGTGAAAATGCATTTATTCTTTGAAAATCTTCTTCTCTACTTCTGGGTATTAAATAATCTAACTAAGTACATAGATATGATGAGCAAGAGTGCCTCTTCCAAATTTGTGAATTTTGTGGCCCCAGGGTCAGGGGTTCTGGTGTTAGGGTGGGGCCCTATTGATTATATAGTGAAAATGCATTAATTCTTTGAAAATCTTCTTCTCTGCTCCTGGGTATTAAATAAACTATCCAAGCACATAGTTATGATGAGCAAGAGTGCCTCTTCCAAAATTGTGAATTTTATGACCCCAGGGTCAGGGGTTCTGGTGCTAGGGCGGGGCTCTATTGGTTTTATAGTGAAAATGCATTTATTCTTTGAAAATCTTTCCTTTGCTCCTGGGTTTTATGCCAATGATCCAAGTATATATATTTATGATGAAGAAAGTTGCATCTAGCAAAATTGTTTTTTTATGCCCCCCCCCCTTGGGTTGGGGGTGAGGGGGGGTACAAAGTCTGAAAATAAATTAATGCTTTGAAATCTGCTCTTTGGTATTAATCAACCATTTTATGATAAAATTTGCACAATTTTGAAATATGTGGCCCCAGGTTCAGTGGTTCCTTTGGGATGAGGTGCACAACTGGTTATAAAGTGGAAGTGCATTTTCTCTTATGTTACTCTGATCTTCCTCTGGATATTACGTATTACAAATAGAGTAAGCATGCTAAGTCTTTAATTATGATAAGCAATGGTGCCTCTTTCAAAATTGTGAATTGTGAATTTCATGGCCTCTGGTTAAAGACACGAACCAAATTTAATTGTTTGAAAGTTGTTGCACAATACTCAGGTGACCTATAAGGCCCGTGGGCCTCTTGTTATATTACAATATAGATAGTTTTCAGTAGACCCACATTAACATCCCAATTATTTCCCATTGGCCGCCATCTTGGCAATCAACCAGGTAATTTTCCCTCTTTGTCCTACCAAATATAAGAGGGTGTAGCAGAAATATTTTTGGGAAAATCTTTATGGAATAAAAATTATGAAATAAAGGAGGCTCTAAAAATGTATATTTTTCAGAAAAACAATGCTTCCCAGCTCACAATTGCCAGTACAAAAAGTTAAAGTCGGTTGAATTATGAAGGAATATGAGCATGTTGACCCCTAATATGGCAGCCAACAGGAAATATTAAACTCTTGTTAATTTGGGTCTACTGAAAACTATCTATTGCTTAACAGTGTGAAGGTCTGGCCATATCATTCAATGTGGCCAGATAATGAACTTAGTAGAAACTTGATGCCAGTGAACTCTTCTGAATGATGTGTATATAAAAAAGGACTATTAGAATAGATTCCTGGTTTTGTAATTTTAAAAGGGGTGGAGGGGGGTATCAAACAGGTTCTACCACTGTGGGCATATAGCACAGTCAGTAGAGTATGAAGGTTCAGGTTTGAGTCCTTTTAAATCCTGGTTTTAGTTCAGTGCACTTTTCCCCCTTTTTTTTGTAGAAACTGACTTTTTTAAGCTTCTCAGCAGGTGCATGTATCTCCCATGTACTAATAGATGAAATAGAATTTGAAAATCCTCATAAATTTAAAAAATAGACACAAATTAATAACAGGGGGATCAGATTAGAACTAGCAAAGACCAATTCCCATGAGATTGTCTATTGCCATGTGATTGTTTTTCTTAATTTTGCATAAAATACTTTTATTATAGAAGAGTGTCAAAAGCACAAAAGAAAGATGATGATGTCAGCAAAAGCAGCAAAACTTACCACATCCTGAAAACAGAAGGAACATGGAAGGCACCAAAGGGAATGTCAAGTGAAGAAGAAAAGAAAATAAGTGAGTAATGTAGTTATGGGGATGACTATACCCTTGTTCTAAACATATACACTATTGGTATTCCACAGCAGTTATCAACTGAAAAAAAAATAAGATGCACTTTTGCCAAAGAATTTAAATTTTGTTTTAAAATTCTTTTATTAAATGCTTATGTAAACCTTGGTTGTATATTGAAATAAAACAACAGGTTTCAAAGTTCAGCAGGTTATATTATTTCAAGTCCAATTCATTTCACATATGGTAATCAAGACAATTATTTATGGCCCAAAATTATGGAATTTAAGCTCTCAAATTATCTGGTAAATTTATCTAAGTGCTGTGCTGTTCATGACTGAAAATCCAAGGTCCAACAAAGTAAATTAAATATAGACACAACCTGCTGGTACCACAGCACTGGACAAAAGTGACCAACACCCCCAATAGATTCAAAAACCTGTCTATGGTCACTAGTCATGTGATATTACTAAACCAATCGCTCAATAGAGTTTTGGCGGGAAAATAATTAATTTAACAAAATTGTAAAATAAATCAACACAAACACTTTTAATAACTTTGTAATTTTATATATTTGTAAAACTTTTATTTATCTACCTATATTTCATAATCATAAACGCAAAAAAAATAAAAACACAATTTTAAAGTTATATACACAAAATTCTGCTATGCTACATCCTCCCCCTGGCTATGAAATGATGTCCCATCATTTTACAATGGAATCAACCACTTTCTGTATCAAAGCCGGAGAAGTAGCTTTCAAAACATCCGAGCAGATTAAGTTCGTAATTAACTGCGATTTAATGATGTAATGCTGTAATGGTTAGGGCCGTGGATATCGGCCTGGATAGCTCAGTAGGTAGAGCACCTGACTAGAGATACAGGGGTCCCGGGTTCGATTCCCGGTCCAGCCATGCATTTTCTCCTTTCCTGTTACAGATTTGGTGCCGTTGACCACCCCTGGAATTGCAGGTGAAAGTCCTGCCAGGGGCAATAAGAACTTGGGTTGTGTCTTCGAGGGCGAAGACCATTTAAGGAGGGAGGAATGTAATGGTTAGGGCCGTGGATATCGGCCTGGATAGCTCAGTAGGTAGAGCACCTGACTAGAGATACAGGGGTCCCGGGTTCGATTCCCAGTCCAGCCATGCATTTTCTCCTTTCCTGTTACACTTATATGAAGCAAGTTTTCCAAACTTTGGTGTCTTTTCTCCCAGAAATCTCGGTGTGTACCTCTCACCATCGTTTTGATCTTTAATTAACAGGAAGTTGGATCATCAGCCAGAAGTTAAGAAAAGGATTGGGTATTAAAGATGACCTACCACTATTTCAGGTTTGTTGGAATAATGTTTTGATATAATATATGATATTAAAAGTTCAAGCAATTTGATAAGAACAAAGAGTAGATCTTTACTTTTTACATGGATTTTTGGTTACTTAATAAATAAAAATTACTGCTCTATTAAAACTTTTCTTTTCATTTTCATTGGCTTTGCTTGTCAGTTTTCTTTATAGCACCCCTGCTCCGTTAAAAAGAAAAGTTTCTTCATGCATTTTTTAGCCTTATCAAGATGACAAAAAAGTTCTTATGAAGCTAGGCTGCACTTCCTTTCTGCTTCCAAGCCTGAAAAACATTATGAATGTTTACATGGGGTAAGTCTAGACAATTATACTTTTAAAGTAACTGCAAGGTAAAATTCAAGAGAAAAAAATAGGACTGCATGGGTATGGGCCAGAGATTTCATATTGTATGTAATATATTGCGATGTTTTTAATTGTATAGTGATATGAATTACAGTTTTCATTTAAAATATTGTATTACAATATTTTAAATGAAAATAAAACTAAAAAGAAAAAAAAAGGCATTTTCTTCTTATATTAACTTTAATTCATATGTACATAACTATGATAAGTAACCAAAAGAAAAACGCAGCACAGTTAAGGTTACAAAAAGGAGGCGGAGCCTAATTTGCACGGGAAAACTTGACTATGACATCATACACAATATACGTCATACAACATTTCTTTAAAATACCACAAAGTGAGTTTATCTGCTAATTTAACCAGTAAGAAATCATCAAACTACATAAAAACTTACTTCAGCGTGTTGTTTTGTCGTTAGTTAAATCCCACATAACAAGTTATAAACAAGTCACTGATTGCAATACACTTGTCAATATGACGTCATTTCTTACAACGTGACGTAGTTTGTATGCAGTGAGAGACAGATCAAGTAATATTTTCTCAACAAAATATGTATTCTCTAATTAAATAAAATATTATTTACAGATATTCTATGGGCCAATAACTTGAATTGAATGTCTTCTTCACTCTTTTAATAATATATTTTCTGTACATTACGTATTTAATTGACACTGCCGTATATTTGTATGCAAGTACATCGGAGGGTAATGTGGGGTGTCTTAATAAATTGATCTAGTGCAAGGGCATACACTCTATGGATCAAAGTAAGCTTTTACATTTCAACTATAGAACTATTAAAGTATCTGAAAAGTGCTGCGATCCTGATGAAATCTTAAAAACAATTTAATTATATCAATATTTCATGCCGCTGACCAGCAAAAAATATAGCATTCGGTCATACAAGTATAATTTTAATAATAAAATTGCAGAATTTAGACAGGATCGCAGCACTTTTTAGAAACTACAATGCATGTTGAAAATATCTATATACTGAACTTGGAAATTTAACTTGGTTATGCCCTTGCACTAGTGATATTTATATGGAACATCAATACTTCAAGTCAATGTGCAAAAATCGCCTGACTGCTGCATCACGTGACTAGTCTAAATATAAAATATAATCGTCCTCTATATGTAGTTATTAATCATAATTACAATTATCCGATATAAATAATGTACTAAAAATAATCGCTATCCCAATTACGAATACATTTTTAAATACAAAATTTAGTCGATATTTCCATTGCGCACCTTAACTGTACTGCGAAAAAACTTGTTGATTTTCTTTTAAGTTATGCTCTGAAATACACCAATCAAACAGCTTCTATCTAACTGTTTTGCCTCATAACAAAGTTAGCAAACCTTTCTAACATTTATTTTTATATTTAATGATAAAATTCCTTACTCTAAGAATTTTGCCTGTATATTGATATTACAAAAATGTACTGCAAAACGATATTTTTTTCATTGTATTGCAATATACCGAAATAACGATATTTTTGCCCAGCCCTAGAAAAAAACACTATTTTTATTTTTAAGTGCAAATGGGGTGGGATTTTATTTGAGATGGTGTTCCGTGATTTTTACATGATTCCTTTTTTCAGAGATTGCCAAGCAGATGTGGAAAGAGCATTGCAAACAAACAATGTTCCAAGGTAATGTGTAAAAAATAATACCATTACTAAAAATTTGAGGAGAAAAAAAACAATGGTCCTAGAATAGAACTCAATCTCTGATTTCGAGATCTACCTCTTATTGTTGATGATTGATTGTTTTGATTATCTAGCTGACTGTCATAATTACAAGCTTTAACTTTACAAACATGGAATTTCAGAATTCAGCAGTTGGCTGATTTTATGGAAGAGTGTTTAAAGTGGTTTGGCATGAAATACAGAGACATTAAGGTATGCAATGAGACAAAATTTGCAAAAATGAAGTCAATGAATGTAATTTTTTATAAAAATTAAACTTTAATCCCTTAAGGGGCAATATCCCTCTGCTCCAAATTTTACGACTTTTTTTTTTAAAATCCAAACATTGATTTTCAGCAACAACTATAGCATTAAATTCAAATGGAAAATAGTTTGAAGTATGAAGCGTTGCTCACTTTTTCAGAAATGAATAATATGTCAAATCATGATGTGAAGAAAATTTGATATGGTAAATAGAAAGATCAATTAATATTTTTTATCTCACAATTAAATTGGATTTATGATGTATATATAATAGGGATGTCAAGGAGTACCCGGTTAACCGGGTACTCGATCGAACGTCCGAGTATCGAATACTAAAATTGGTACTCGGTTACTCGGATGTATATTACAAATACTATATTTTTGAATGTTTCTAAGCTAATTTATTAATGCATTAAAACATCGGTTTTAAAACGTAAAATGTTTATTGCATTTGTACATACAGTAATTAGGGTTTTCTACACCTCTAAATGACCGTTATCGCCCGTGGCAGTGTTTATACAGTAATTATCGTGACCATACACCTGCTACCTGGTTTTTCTCACCTTCGACTGACTTCTACCCTTATTTTTTGTTTGCTTTAATTAATTTGTTTTCACTGCACATCGTTTTAATAAGGTCTAATGTGTTTAAATAAATTAAATAATTTTGTCAATTCTCCAAGAAGCAGTAAATTCTCGGGAAAAATTACACGTGCGAATGCATTGTTGATATGGTTGTGTTTGATTACATGCCAATTAATTCAAATGGTTGATGGCAAAGGTTTAAAAAAAAAACTGATGTCCATCGTTGCATCAAATTACAACATATTGTCCTTTAATACTATAAAATAAAGGATCGAAAACATGTACGAAGATCGGAAATCTGCTCTGTTATAGGAGAATTTGATAAGTCGATACTGTAGCTCTGACGACTGATCACTTGGAAGTCAAACGCAACCAAAGAGTTACATTACAATTACGGAGCAGATTATTATTGAAAAAAAACCCACTGTGAACCATTTATGATTTTATTCCTTGTGTTAATCTGATAAATAAATTGATCTTTAAAAAATGTTATATTAAATTTCGTCGGGCATGATGCGCTCATAATTATTACATCAGATTTACGGGTAAATCTCCCATCGGAGCATGTGGTTTTATTTCTACAAGAGTTTACAATGTTTTACAGTTATCAATGTTACTTGTTCATATTTATTTACAATTTTACCGAGTACCCGGGTACTCGATCGGAAAAAAGTCAGAGTAACCGAGTATTAAAATCGACCGATTTGACATCCCTAATATATAAAAATAATATTTACTCTCATACCTATCTAATTCCCATTAGAAAACACACTGAAGCATTGCTTTTTAGCTCACCTCAACGAAATTGGGGGAGCTTATGTAATACCCTCGGCGTCGGCGTCCCGGGTTAAGGTTAAGTTTTTTTGAGCAGTTTTCTTTTTAAGTACTTCTATGTCCTATATTGATTAGACATGCATGGAAGATGTTTCTAGTGTGTTTCATTGTACCAGTCAAAGTTTCAGATGCTGCAATTTCAGCAAAGGAATGACCAGGTTAATGTTTTTGGAGCAGGTTAACATTTTTGGTGCAGTTTTTGGTGTGGGTTTCATTTCCAAGTAACTATAAGCCCTATGTTGACCAAACTTGCATGGATGATACATCTAAGGATGCATACTACAGGGATTGCTTCGGATGCTGAATCTGACCTACATTTTCCGGTTGAGTGAACAGGTTAAAGTTTTCGGTGTAGGTTTCATTTCCAAGTAACTATAAGCCCTATGTTGACCAAACTTGCATGGATGATACATCTAAGGATGCATACTACCGGGCTTGCTTCGGATGCTGAATCTGACCTACATTTTCCGGTTGAGTGAACAGGTTAAAGTTTTTGGTGCAGGTTTCATTTCCAAGTAACTATAAGCCCTATGTTGACCAAACTTGCATGGATGATACATCTAAGGATGCATACTACCGGGCTTGCTTCGGATGCTGAATCTGACCTACATTTTCCAGTTGAGTGAACAGGTTAAAGTTTTTGGTGCAGGTTTCATTTCCAAGTAACTATAAGCCCTATGTGGCCAAACTTGCATGGATGATACATCTAAGGATGCATACTACCGGGCTTGCTTCGGATGCTGAATCTGACCATTTTCCAGTTGAGCGATCAGGTTAATGTTTTTGGTGCAGGTTTCATTTGCAAGTAACTTTAAGCCCTATGTTGACCAAACTTGCATGGATGATACATCTAAGGATGCACACTACCAGGCTTGCTTCGGATGCTGAATCTGACCTACATTTTCCGGTTGAGTGAATAGTTAAAAGTTTTTGGTGCAGGTTTCATTTCCAAGGAACTATGAGTTCTTTAATGACCAGTCTTGCATAGATGATACATCGAAGGATGCATACTTCCAGGCTTGCTTCGGATGCTGAATCTGACCTACTTTTTGTGGATGAGTGAAAATGTTAGTTTTGATGCATGTTTCATTTCCAATAAACTATGAGCCCTATAATGAGCAAACTTGCATGGATGATACATCTAAGGATGCACACTAATGGACTTGCTTCGGATGCTGAATTGGACATACATTTTTCAGATAATAGACAAGGTAAAAGTTATGGTTGCAGGTCTATTACCAAAAACTATAAGGCTTATATAACATTGTATAAACCAAACTTGCACAAATGCTGCATCAAGAGATGAAAACTCTCAAATTTGCTTCAGATGCTGGATTTTCATTACATTTGCATGAAGAAGAAGTAGTTTAAATTTTTTATGTAGGTCTATTTCAAAGTATCAGATCAAAATTGCTTTTAAAAATATTTCATTTTTGGAATGTATACTTTTTGTTGGTTAATTGTGTGACTTTGCCTTACTTAAAGACAACATTCGTTGAGGTGAGCTCTGTAATCTCGGATTACCTATGTTTAAATCAGAATATCAAATTGTTTACTGTGCATGTAATATTACACGCATCCATAAACAAGAGTTATCGTTCCATTATCGCCCTTGAAAATATTTTTTAATGAAACAAAATATTAATTAAATGTTTATAAACAATTCTGCATCTGAAATTTCTGTACAATTAAATGACTTATACGTTAAGAGATAGAGATTTCTCAATTTACACGGTTTAAAGGAACCGAGTATAAATGTTTTAGGTAAACTATTATAAATAATTACCGTAATAAATATACTAGCAATAGAAACTAGAAATCAACATCTGTACGATAGAATAGGTTTGATTGAGTTGACTTCAAAATGGTCCGTATGAATGAAATTTGTAGACTCTAGCATGACAAATCACTGAATATAATGACAAAATGTCTGCAGAAAGTTATCTCTCTTATCAGAAGAGTTATCTCTATTATCAGAAGGATATTCCACCTTAATTATGTTCCCCAAACGAAGTTGGGGAACATTGTTTTTACTCTGTTTCTTCTTATTATTTTTCTTCTTCCTGGGTACTTATTTGTCCGCGAATGATCTTGTAAACTGTTTATCTGATGTAAGTAAAATCTTTTTAGGGTAAGTAGACATGTTATGTAGATTTGCGGAATCAAGGTCATTTTGCGCGCACGTGCAACATGTAAAATGACCAATATAATTGATATAGCCGTAACTTTTTTATTTTCTGATGAAATGTGTTGAAACTCAGAATATAAGAATATATTAGTATTATAGACAAGAGGACATGGTCAAATTATCATGAACTCACGTGCATGCACGTGCGCTTCGCTCTGACTGGCTGAAACAAAAATCTCAATATCTTATTCGTTTTTTGACGAAATACTTTGAAATTTCAAATATACGAGGGGTGTTAGAAAAGTTCGCGGACAAGTTCTATTGTGAGCGCGCTATTTCCACGAAACCGGTCAAACTTTCCAGATAAAATATCAACCTATTTTCCAATAAATATACAAAAATTTGGTGCTCTCCGGTGATCATTGAAAAATAAACGGCTTCTTTATTTTGATAAATCTTGCTTCACGGAGCATGCTCCATTTTGGCACGTTTACATTACAAAGACTCTTTATTAAAATTAAAAATTGCACAATTGTAGCGCAAAGAGATTTATGATATTTTACCTATCGCTAAAGTATTCATGAAACGTCACTTGGAGAAATTTTGAATTAAATTGGAGGGTATATGACTGTTTTATAGCCATTTATAAATGATCAACACGTAAAAATACAGCCAAAAATCGGAATGTCATTGAGCGTCATGGAGCACTGCACTACGTAGAAATTATGTGTGTAGACAGTAAAATGTCTAAAAAGAGATTAAAATTTTCAAGATGCTGCCGAATATTTCCTACACACACAAAGGACAAAAGTTTTCAAATGATTGTGACTTCATATAAATGGAAGGATTAACATTTTGAATGATTAACTCCATCGATACTTCAATACCCTCTTATCGCATGGACGTTGTGCCTATATGGTTTTGCAGTTTTCAAACCTGATCAATTTACTGCATAGACGTTTTTAAAGATCTCGAAAATATCCGAATCAATACAATCCGAATTAGTATAAAAGACATTATAGTAGAAAGGTAACATGTCTTGATATGGATGTTCAATTTTAAAGTAGAAAAAGATAGGAAAAATTTGAAGAAAGGAAAGATTTATAGAACTGCGACAAAGTATAACGGATTGAAATCTGGTTGTCACGTCGCCTTACGTCAAGGGATTGCTCCGTGAATCCTATGACATAATAGTAAAAATCGTTGTAAATTTTCAAGATTTTAGTAAATGGACCTGATTTTTTACATACTAATAAATAAAATGTAGGAATTTATTCAGACATAGGTCATACTTCACAGTACACAATAGATTTTCCGTAATTCAATGTGTCCGCGAACTTTTCTAACAACCCTCGTAGTCATGCATTAAAATATCCTACGATATGATATAAAATAATTTTCATGAAATAATGCGCATGCATGTGCGCTGCAATCTGATTGGCTAAAACTTTAAATGCCTATAACTTCTTTGGTTTTCAGCCAAACAGGATGGGATTTAGGACATAGATAGTCTTAATGGACCCCTAGAAGAGGGTATGGTCATCATGCACATGCATGCACGTGTGTGCACGTGCAATACGTATAATTACAAATGCCCTTGATTTAGCGTATTTTCGAATACTTTTTGATTAAATGTCTAGATATTAAGTACATTATAATAAATTAATAGTGTAGATACAATGATATGGTCATTCCGCATATGCATGCAAGTGTGCGCACGTGCAATGCAAAAATTTGCTATATACTTGGTATAATTTAGGAAAAACGTTGTTAAAGTTCCAGATGCATAGGGTTTAAGTTATTTGATGAGGCTTAGAGGGAATGAGGCACCAAAATGAAGTTGGGAAGCGTTTGGGGAACATCTGTAATGGTTCCCGTTACAATTAGCACTAGTTACTTTCTTGACAATATTGAATTTTCCGAATTGCAGGACAAGAAGGAGAAATCCCAGCCAACATATGGAGATATCATGGCCTGTTTCTGTTCTATGTACATGGACATGAAAACAGTTCTATCAAGGTTTAAAATTCTTCAATACCAGATTAGAGTTTTTGTTTAAAAATTTTTTTAATTAAAAAAGCAATAAAATTATATGTAATACATTTTATTCTTCCTAAAGATGGGTAATAAGGGGAAGGGGTCAAGTTTATTTACATTTTAAAAATGGTCAAATGCTTAAGTAAAAAAAAAAAAGATCTATTGCAATTAACCATCAGAGAATTTTACCTATGTGAAGTAAAAGGTTTACAAGTTCCTACTAACAGAAATTTTGTTTTCAACAGAAATTTAGAAAAGAAGGAGAAGAAAAAGATGGCAAGAAATCTCTGTGGATTTGTGAGTTTTCTGGTTCCTGATGAGGTCAAAGTGGATGTATTAATACAGATGACAGAATTCACATCTGAAGATGGAAAGTTCATAAAGCCATTTGTAGAGTAAGTTTGAAATTATATTGTGTGCATTTATGTGCATTTATGGCTTTCATTAACAGCCCTCTTCCCATTATTGTTTTACCTCTATATTACTGTAAAGTGTATATTGATACAAAGCAGATAAAATGCCATTGGTTTATTGATGCAACTTCTTCAAATTCTTATCATCAATATCCAATTGCACTATTTTCAGCATAATATCAAACAGCATCAAAGTTTTAGTCCTATTTTAAATGAACTGGAAGAGCATCTTTGATAAAGCACTGTCAATGTACATGTAAATATATTTTGCTCTGCAGTCTTTTTTTTTTTTTTGCACATGTGTAATTTGCATGTTTCATTTTATGGTTTTCACTTACTCATTATTTTATGTTTTAGAAAATATTTAAAGGACCCCAAAATTGAAGGAGACTGTAAAGCCTATCTCAAACACATGCTCTGCATTGTTCTGCTGAGTAAGAAATTGCCTGATGTCATACAGGAATACAAACTGGTAATGCTAATAATGATATAGATGATTTAAATAGATACATGAAAGTTAATTCTTTCATCTCACAACAGTGTCTTATTTGATTTCATGGTTGACAAATTGTTTATTTGAAATTTTACAATTGGTGGAAGACAGGAATTCCTGAGTCTCCTCATACTATGAAACCAATCAAACCACTTCAAAAAATGATTTCTCAGATATTAATCTAGATATTGAGTTACATGTTCATACTCATATTTACAGTTCTATAAATATGATTTTTAGGCTGCGCAAAGAATCCCAGCTCCTAGTGAGTTCATGTCCTGGATCTCGACAGAAAGCCCAGCACTGATGGATTCCATACCAACAGACAGGAAGTTTGTCGGCAGCCATATCACAAGATTTCTTCTGGAGGATTTAGATGAAGATCTTGCAGAGCAATTTTTAGACGTAAGCAATGATTGTTTAAATTTGAAAATAGCTGAAGAGAGGCTTTTTACAACAGGATGCTGAGTGGTTTGAACTTGGTTCTGTGAGCTTTGTACTTTAAAATATATCGACACCATCTTTAAATTGTTTTAATAAAGATATTAATGTATTTCAATATACATGAACTTATACAAAATGGTACATGTAGGTTTTCAATTGTTTTTTAGGTGTTAGTCATTAGAGGTGATGAAGAGACCGACACTTCAGAGGAAGTAAGTACACAGGTAAAAAAAAAAAAAAGATCTGATAAAATAAAAAGATAAACTTGCTTTCTGAGAATTTCCATTTATTTGGGAATTTTAATGTATCAGAATTTTTTTCACATAATAAATGGTGTTCTGAATTTTTCCTTAGTTTACAGTCATGATAATTATACTAAGAAGTCTTGCTTTGTCCTAACATATTATTTAAACTCTTTCTTGTTCATCACCTTGGAAAACTTTTTTTCAGCATAAAGTAGTTTTAAAAAATTGAAAGAATTCATTTTATAGGTGGATTTTAGTTGCTGTTATGCAATATACATGTACACTTGTGTTAATCAAAGATGATATGAATTGATCTTTACCTCTCTGTACAGACTCCAGATGTGGTGCTGGTAGAAGACACTGAGACAAAGAATGAACCCAGTAGTTCCACCCTACCTGTCGATTTCTTCTTCATTGATAAAGGCAAACCAAAGGTAAACCATGGAATGCACAGCTGTTATTTATGCTAATCGAAAAATTTTACTGAAATTTTTTGTGTACCTGACATAATTTTGTTCCTTTAAATTTTTTTATCGTTATATTTTCTTAATTCCAGGTAGATCCTGTTGATGTTTTAGAAGATGATGAAAAGATGGAGGATGAGATTTCGGAAGCTGATTCTGGCAAAGGTTCCAATACTGTGAGTAATTGTAAAAATACTTGTAACTAATTCAGATCCAGCTTTTTACTTTTCTGCATTTTGTGAATTTTTTTTTTGTATACTTTCAAAAAGTTGGTCAGACAAACACAAAAGATTGCAATGAATGAAAAATGCTTATAGCAGGCTCAATTACGTACATTCATTAATAAAAAGTTGGGGTGAATTTTTTTTGTACAACCAATTTACTTTTATGCAAAAAAGAATTGTGAATACATGTACTGAAGAATTTGGGGGAAAAACATTTCAAAAATGTCTTTGAATTTTTCAGCCTGTGATCCTTTCTGATAGTGAGGAAGCTGAACCTGCCGTAGTACTGGAAGATGCCCTGGAAGAAATAAGTAATGTCCTCCAGAATGCTGAAATGGAAGAATCAGAACATGAAAGTGAAAGCGAAAGTGAAAAGGAGGAGGAAGATGTAGGAATTTTAGAAACAGTGGACAATTCTCTAGACAGTGGTCAGAGAGATGTTTTCAAAGGCACAAACAAAATGGATGATGTTGAGCTTCATTCAGGTTCTTCAAGAAAAAATTCAGTGTCAGATACAGGCAAAGCAAAGATCAGAACAGAGGATGAGGAAGATGCAGCTGAGGTTAAAGAATTAGAAAATATTGAGTCACCACCAAAACCTCCAGTTACATCCCTAAGGACTCGATCAAGAAGTACATCATCAGTAAGCTCTCAAAGTTCAAAGGCAGACAAGAGGAAAAAGAATAAACCAACCAAAGGTTCAGATATTGAGGCTAACAGTTCTGAGTTCATTAAATCAAAATCACCTTCAAAGTCCATTCCATCTAAAGGAGACAAAGGGAGAGAGAAGAAAGGGGTCAGAGGGAAAAGTGATGTAGAATCTGATGAGAATAAACAGTTCAAAGGAACTAAAGAGAAGAAAATGGTCAAAGAGAGCGATGATGTAAAGTCTGATGAGAATGCAGTAGAAAGCGTGGTGTCTGACTCTTGTGATTCTGATGAGAATGAACAGTTCAAAGGAACTAAAGAGAAGAAAATGGTCAAAGAGAGAGATGATGTAAAGTCTGATGAGAATGCAGTTGAAAGCGTGGTGTCTGACTCTTGTGATTCTGATGATGAAGAAGACAATTTTAAAATTCCAAACATCATGCCAAATGATAAATCCAGAAGCATATCAAAAGTCAGAAGGGATAAGAAAGCAGAAGACTTCATGTCACCTATTATTCAAAATATCAGGGTTAAACCTATCAAGAAGAACTCTAGGAAAAGGATTCTGGTAGAGAAGGATGCTCCTAAAAGTGACACTGAAGCAGAAGGTGGGGAGGGTTTCACTTCAATAATAACACCACTGAAAAAGTCCAAGAAAACTGAGAAAGAGGGGAAGAAGGAACTCTCTACCAAGAAAGAAGAGAAGGAGGAACTTCCTATCAAGGAAGAAGATGAGAAGAAGGAACTACCTTCCAAGGAGGAAGATGATCAAAGGACTAGGAGGAGGTCAAGAAGGAAAACTACCTCAGATCTGCCATTACACAGCAAGTTGAAGGACACAAAGACCAATGCAAAGAGAAAATCATTAATGCCAGGCTTGGACTGTACACCAGAGAAGAATTCAAAGATAACTGAGTACTTTTTGAGAACACCGATTAGAACTAAAGGACGGGTGATATGTAGAGATGAAGAGACAAATTCCGAAGCATCTATACAAAGTGAATTGAGAGCTGGAGAGGGTGAAAAGAACAAGAAAACTGAAGTAGAGAAATCTGTGGGAAAAGTGAGAACAAGGAGACAGTCAGGAAAAGAAGATACTGCAAATGATCCAAAACAAAGGAAAAAGGACACTAAAAAAGCAATGGAGAGTGAAAAGATTGAAGAAGAGGAGACTGTAGGAAAAGGAAGAAGTAGGAGACAATCAGGGAAGGAAGATACTGGGAGCGATTCAAATCAAGGAAAAAAGGGCAGTAAAAAAGCTATGGATAGTGAAAAGATTGAAGAAGAGAATAATGAAGGAAGAGTGAAATCAGTGAAAACTAGGAAACAATCTGAGAAAGAAGATACTACCACTACTGCAAAGAATTCAAAAGAAGGTAAAAAGGACAGTAAAAAGGCTACAGAGAGTGAAAAAATTGAAGAAGAGGAGTTTGAAGGAAAAGTGAAATCAGTGAAAACCAGGAAACAATCTGAGAGAAAAGATACCACTACTTCTAAGGATTCAAAACAAGGAAAAAAGGACATTAAAAAAGCTACAGAGAAGAAATCTAGTGAGACAGAGCCAACAGCTAAAAAGTCACCGCAGGTACGCAGGAGAATATTAAGGAGCAGTATGATTTTTATGGGAGATCAAATAGAAATTATGGAGACTCCGTCTTCTAGTAATGATAGTGCTCCACTAGAATCCCCAAAGAAAGCTACCCGATTATCTAAGAGAATTTGATGCTGGTTTTAGATTGTCAGATGGGTCACACTGTGTTCATAACTTCGAATTGTGTTTGCATGTTAGCACTAAAGTTAACCAATATCAAGCAAGATATCCAAAATATGCATTGCATTTCATCATAATCTTTAAAAAAAAAATGAAATTCCAAGATGGTTGCAAATACACTGTAAAGTTAATGCTTAATATATGGGGGGGGGGGGGTTGAGTTGAATTTGAGAGAATCACAATGTTAATCTAGCTTTAGTCAAAAGCAACTAAGCAAAGCATCATAATTCACAAATACGTATTTTCTGAAAATTAATCAATGGAACATTAATTTTCTTATTCCTCAGTTTTATTACTCCTATCAAATAGAGTTTACATCTGTTTTTGTCCCTCTATTTCTGTTTTATAAAGGACCAAGTACTATAGATGGATGATCATGTGAAGTTTTGTTGTTTAATTGCATTGCATGTAATACCAAACTCAAAGTTTGACATATTCTAGCCAGAGTTGACATAATTTTTTGATTTGGAGATAGCTTTGATTTATATTTTCACTGATGCAAAAAATTATATTTCAACAGAGATTTATGACTGAATCCATGTACTGTAAATCACATTTTATTCGTGAGAACTTTATTTTCGTGTAATTACGCGAGACGGTATGCTCACGAAAATTTCATTCTCACGTATAATAGAATTCCTTAAGATTATATAGAGCAATGACCACAATTTGTGAAAATTTTGTCTCGCTTATAAAGAACCAATGACTATCTCGCGAAAATAAGGTGTCGCGAAAATTAAGTGATCTACAGTATATGACTTTACATTTCGGCATTTGTCATGATTTAGGATCCTAACATTGGCAGAGAAAACCCATTAAAATATTCATCTCTAAAATGAGTACAACTGCTTTATACCTGGCTTGCTTATTACAAGTTTTCAAACACAAGAATTTTGTGTGTTTAATGTAAAAAATTTACAAAATTTCCCCCAATAAATAATAGGTGGCAAATGAAAGGGACCCAGATGTACCAAGATTTTTTTAAAATTGAGGGACATATATTAACTGTTCATGCAGCTACACTAAAAGGGCATTGTGTACAAACTATTCATTTGAATTTATTTACATGTTTTACATATGTATGTCATATACAGTTTACATGTGCATGTTCTTCTTTGGGTGATCATTTGATAATATGATGCATGACTGTTTTATAATGACTTGAATTTAAGGGTATTTTGCAAGGCAAATTGTTGATATACATGATTCCTTATTGTTGAAAAACAACTTATATTTATGAAAATTTATAAAAAGATTTTGAAAGGCTTCTTGGTTGAATCTTATATGTGAAGACAGTTAAATTATTATGAGTAGTGTGACTACAGTTCTGGTTGTTTTGAAGTAGAAATGAAATTATCAGCTGGTGACCGCCAAGAAAAAAAACTTCCTGGCACATACCAGCTTCTGTGAAGAGCAGAACTGATAAAAGACAAACATAAATTATCTAAAGTCTTTTAAATATAGTAGCATACTCAGAATTTATTGCAAACCCCAATTTTCAACAGATTTGCCCAATCTTAAATGAGCAAACTATAATTTTAACGGTGACATGTTAAAGTTTTCATCACCTATTTTAAAATGTGTAAATATTGGTAAATCAGAAGACAAGAAGCAGCATGAAAGGCGCAAAAATAAGAATCTTTACGCAATGTCTTGGGTACTAAATCCAGTCGTGGCCATTGAGGTCTCAACAAATTTCTTCCGATATTTTACGGGTTTGCTTTTCTTATTGAAAAGCATGAATCAGACCGAGGGTTTCATATAAGTTTAATGTCATAAGTAGGTATTTGACATAATTCACGTTTACACATTTATTTTGGCCACCCAAATGTTTAAATGTTATTGGTCAAGAAATAAGAAAATTATAAAGATTTGTAATTTCCATGAAATATGTTGCTGCGGACAGCCCGTAAAATATGGAATGACGTTAGTCAAGGGTCCTCGGCCACGAGTGGACTCAAAAATGTATCTTGTTATATTTTTTATCAGACATTATTTCAGGATTTGTTAAATCTATGGCTAGTTCAGATCAATACATTATTAGGCAATGGCATAATACATGTACTAGGCTTATGTTTCAATTCTAAAGAAGGATTGCAAAGTTATGGCATAGGAAGAATTTATCTTGTGCCATGACCTTGACTGGATGACATGACCTTGAAAATCGAATTCAGAGTTTAAATCAGTTTATAATTAGCTGTATTGACTTAAGGTACTCTGATCCTTAGCCAGGAAGGTTAAATCTTTAAATTATAATTTAATTGAAAGTCTTAAAATGAAGCTTGAAAATTACATCTTTTTATGCCTTCAATACATTTTTATCTTTTCTTTAATTAAGCGATAAGTGAAAGCTGCTTCCGGAGATACAAGAGTCATTGGAAATGCTAATTTCACCGAAATTTTCAGCTCCTCTCTCATTTCGCATATATTTAAAAATAGTTTTAATACCTATAATAATAACACATTAGAGGTATTACGTATCTTTTGTTATTTTAATACACGAAAATTTCATTGTGAAATAAAATTGTGACTAAGACATTAAAAATGTAGACTAATAGATTTAATTACACGAGGCTTTGCCAATTTCAATAGTCCTCGCACGATAAGTGAAAGCTGTTTCCGGAGATACAAGAATCATTGAAAATGCTAGCGCTTCTCGTGTTTACTATCGACCTGTAATTTTCAAATTATCAATAAATAAATTCCCCCAACTTTCAAACAGTTATCACAGAGAAAAAATTAGAAATGGAAATATTTCAAGTTGATCTTCTTTTCCAATAGTTGCCAGCGTGGCGCAGTGGTTAGAGCGTCTACTCTTGATTCGTGAAGCAAGGAGTAAATCCTTACGTCGCGGGTTCGAATTCCATTGTGGGACGTGAAGACCGGTCCTTTGAATGAGACCGTATAAACCGAGGCCCCGTGTCGCAGTAGGTGCTGGCATGTAAAAGATCCCTCCCATCTCAATTGCGCTGAGTGCCGAGCATAGGACGAAATTTGCAGCTCTCCACCGGCAAAGTGGTGGCGTCTCCATATGAGTGAAAAATTTTCGAGAACGACGTTAAAACAATATACAATCAATCTATCTTTTTCCAATAACTCTTTTGAATAAAATAATTGTGCAATAATTTAATTCAAAAACAAGAACCAAATAAAGACTTAAGATGCATAAACATAATGTACAAGTTTATGTATTTTGAAAAGTATTCTTGGTCATTGTTTATCTTGAACAACGAACAAACTACCAGGTACATGCAATCTGCGAATGTTGGCCATTGCAGGGGCAGTCAATACACAGTGGCGCCTGGTTAATATGGACGACTCTGGCTCTGTCCTGAATGAAATCATTTGGATAAATGAATCGTCCTGTAGTTAACTGTAATGAACAAAAAAAAACCCCACTCTTTTCATGAGCCTTAACCGATGAATTGAAATTTTAAGCGAAAAATCGTTTTAAATATTCTTCAGTACACAGTAAACACTTTTATCATGTTCTTCTCAACATCCACCAATGTAGACTGGTATTGAGTGACCATGAGATGATCTCCATCGGAATGGAGCGCAATTTTGTGTGGATTGGAAATCCCATCACTTATCATATTGCCGATGATGTCACCATCTGTTGTCATCAGCAATACATTGTGGGACTTGCATCCGGCAACATAGACACGCGTTCCGAGAACAGCAATGCCTTTGGGACTCTTAAGCAAACCTTCATCCCGAAACTCCCATCTTTTCTCACCACTGGTCGTAACAGCGATTACAGACCCTTTATATTTGTCGGTGACAAACAGGTTTTTGGCCGATTTGTCCATGGCTATGTAGTCAGGGAAGGAAAATAGATCGTGATCATCCTGATCCTTGCAGATGATCTTTAATTCTCTTCCATCTTGAGACATCATTTTAACGCAAGGTGGTTGGGAATAGCAGCAGACAGCAAACTTTTTGTGAGCAAATGCAATTCCCCAACACTTTGCACCAGTCTGAATGGTAGAAATACCAAGGCAATCGTTCTCTCGAACCTGGTAAATATAAATTTTCTTGTCTGGCGGAAGGCTTACGGCAACCTCGTTTCCACTGATGACTGCAATATCGTAGGGTTTTGCAGACAACACCTTTTCACCAACCCATTTGTACTCCTTATCGAATAGCTTAATCTTGCGATGGTTCTGAAATTCAAAGCATTGTAAAATGTATATTTTTAATTTAGAGCCACACAGGACAATTTTATTTCCGAAATTAATATTCAGACAGCGACTTTCATTATACTTACCTGATCAATTAGGATGATCCTACTCTTTTCAATAAATTCTGCACCAGTGAAGCAACAGTTTTCTCTGTCTTGAATGGTGCGGGCTTTGAAGAAGTAATCCATTGTTGCCTGTTTCGGAGCTACTCTGTGGATTGGCGAAACTGACTTTGGTGGAAGAATAAGTGGTGGAAGTGGCGTTTGCGCAGAATCAGGATGTTTCACATCTTCATATCGAGGAGACTTTCTCGATGACCTCACGGAAGGTATGGGAGATAGCTTCGCTGTATGGATATTATTTCCACTTCCAAAGAAAGTTGGTGGGGATTTTCGTGAGCTTATCGGTGGCGATGCTTTTTTCACAGACAAAGGAGGGGACTTTCGAGTTGATAGTGGTGATGAAGGAATACTTCTAAAGGCAATAGATTCGTCTTCTATGGGGTTTTCTTCGTTTGAGTTTTCCAAATTGTATGGGGGAGCAATATGGACAGGAGTGTACGTGATCGTGATCTTTCCAATATCCCTCAATGCAGTGGAAATCGCTTGGATCTGTTTGTCTGGAGTGAAATTCATGAAGACGTCTTTCATTTGGCGTGTTATATCGGAAAGGGTGTTTTCGCAGACATGAGCTTCGTGCTTGACTTTGTCCACCATTAGTAGAACGTCTGTGTCGGAACCATGCTTCAGTGTGTTCTGGAGCAAAGACAAAGCATTATCAGTCGTGCTAGCAATACCATCACAGCTATCGATGTCGGAATCGTAGTTGGTTTTCTCTTGAACCTTTATGTTTTTAATCTCTTCAGTCAACTTGTATTCCTTAGATTTCAACAAATCATTCATCTGTTGACGAAGACCAGCTATTTGTTGACGAAGCTGAAAAGATGCATCTTCCAAGGTCTTCGAGCTATGTTTACGGTTTTCCGAAATCCTATTCGCCCAGTCTCGCTGCATCTTCAGTTTATCAATCAGAGCATCTGTCTTGAGCCTTTGTTTGTCGGCTGCTTCTTCGCAAGATGTGACATTGAGACATTTCCTATGATCCAGCGTCACACAAGAGGAACAGACGACCTGGTTATGATCCTCGCAGAAGAAAGCCAGCTCAGTTCCTTCATGGTCGGGACACGGGGGTCTGTTGGCGGTGTCCTTGATTGGTTGATGCTGGAGATCAATCATGCTTATCAGGTTGTGATGTTGAGAGTATTTTAGCGACTTGTGAAAAGATTCACACTGCTCGCAGTAAGCTTCCGAGCATTCCTTACACCACTTCACCGCAATGATACTGTCGTTGCGTCTCGAGCAGGGATCGCATTTTCTTTCTTCTGTCCGCAGACGAACATTTTCCATTAAGCTCTTAACGAAATGATTCGCCGGGAAAGACTCAACCCAATAATGTGGAGCTTGCTGGGGATCAGGTGCATCGATTTGACGCTTACACTTAGGGCAGTTAAACCCTCTCGCCGCCTTTTGTCCTTTGGTGGATTCTATAATATGGCGACTAATGCATTCCTTGCAAAAAGAGTGAAGACATGGTAATCCTACAGGTTCTTTATAATCGTCTTCACAAATTGAACAGGTCAAAAAAGCCTCGGCGACGTCTGGTTCATATACAAATCCAGCCATTTTTCATTCTTTAGAAAGCTGTTTTTCTATCAAATGATAGTTAACAATTCGATCTGCGAAACGTTACTAAGACGCAACAAACCCTTCCCCAATACACATTTAGTTTTGAAATTTAACAGTGAATTAAATGTCTTTGGATCTTTTGTTTTTAATTATTGTTATTAAACAATAAAACCAACGTTGCACTTACTTTCGTAATTTAAAAGAAGTACTGAACAACAAAGCAGGCATGACTAAATAATATTTATTACATATATAAACATTCTTCATATATAATATATCAAAAATGTATACCGTAATACCCAAGATAAAAAAATTATATATTGCATTGTCATTGTACATGTATATATATAATATATATTTAAAAGTATAAATACTGTTTTAAAAGTGATATTACTTCTCGCATGGGTAAAATAAAATAGATCAAATTAAAAAAAAAAAACAGATAAAGTGCTGATTGCAAATGGGTGCACCTTTCTGGCACTGGTTGTGTAGAACAATATTGCGTGACTGAAAATCTTCCGTGTTTTCTTTAAACTATTCTTATCAAGAAATTTTGAAAAAAAGATCAGGAAATATCAAGAAATAGGGCGAACAAGAATTGCCGGAACTTGGTCCTTCTTAACAACACGTTTTGTAAATTCTCCTTCTGGGTTTATATAAGCTGGTTGGGAGTCAGTTTTATTCAAATTAGAGCGCCCACTAGCTCCATAATACCGATGTTCCGCTTGTATTTTGAGAATAACCGTGTATGTAAAACCTTTAGAAATTATTGGTGGTGCGGGGAACTTGATTTGATACGATTGCTGCTTTTTATTTATCACAAGTTTATCTCTGGCTTTGGCTTTTTCTTGATTGTCCATATCGTAAATGTTCAGGAATACGTCATAGTGTTCCTCGTCATACCCGGTTCCGTCTACCTCAACGCCATCTACGAACACTTCTCTGGAAGATGAAAATGCAATAGCGGTAGTCTCGTTATGCATACAGTTTACCGGACCGAACCGCCAATGAAGGGTCTGATTCTCCCCCTTTGACCTTTTATCGGTCCGAAATTTCTTCACATCAGTATTAGTTCCACTGAAATAGTTGTGCAAGATCTTTCTTTCTTCTGTCGATAGAATATCAGATTTAACCACGGTTTTATGATAATAACTTGCTTCTAAAACAGGAACACGGATGTAGTACAGAATTCCCCCTAAATAGCGACGCTGATTTTGCGGTGATACGATGACACCGTTCCTTAAGCACTCTTGTTCAGACCACCGGAGAGCTGCATCGAACACCACTTCCTCCTTGGCGTCGAGTTTTTCGGACTTGATTATTTCTTTGACTAGAGATGCATGAAGATTGCCGAAACTACCCGAACGTAAGATTTCCTTCGGTTGATGCCAAATATATTCTAAGCATTTGTTTTTCAATGTTGATTCATCAAATTTGTGGGCTTCTTGGAGAATATCACATACATTGTGTGTATTTAATCCATGTTCTAACACACGTCTACATTTTTCTTCCAGTCCCGTTAAACCATATTTTCGGGCTGCATACAAAATCTGTATAGCGTTCTTTGCCTCGATTTTAGTATCCTCGCAATATATGTACCTGGAAATGATAAAATGCATTAAAATCATTAAAAGATTAAATGAAACCTTTTAAATCATTACAATTGTCAACATGTTTTAACCAGATGTCAATATTCTTTGGAAAAATATTTTTAGAATTAAAGTTCTAAATTACATTAATTTTCTTACTCTAGCATATGTTGAAATATATCGCTTTCTATGTCTGGAATGGCTATTCTCTCGTCTGTCTTAGCTGCCATGGGTCCAATTAGCATGGCGTAGAACACACAGCTACGACTGACGAGAACATAGCGATGAGCTCCAACAACTTGACGTGTCTCTCCCACCAGAAAGTGGACATCGAAGGCTATCTCGCTGGTCAGCATGTGTCGGTTACATTCAGCTAACGTTTTCTTGGCTTGCCAGTCATAATGTGCTGACATATCGTCCGAATCTGAAATACAACAAATACATATGGTTAAAAAAGATGTGTTTGTGAAACACATATGGCAACAAAGGTTAAAGATTATACTAGCATAGGTAACATCAAGGTCAGAAGGTCATTGACCTTGGTGTCATTTGAAAGACCTTGATTAGTGAAGTAAGCACACCAAATATGAAGTCTCTATCTTTAATGGTTCAAAAGTTATAGTGAAAGGTACGAAAAAGCTATTTTTAGCATATAGGTCACAGTCAAGGTCACCAGGTCATTGACCTTGGTGTCATTTGAAAGAACTTTATTAGTGTTGTATGCATACTAAATATGAAGTCTCTATCTTTCATGGTTCAAAAGTTATGGCGAAGGTTAAAGTTTGCAGACAGAAAAGCTATTTTTAGCATATAGGTCACATTCAAGGTCACAAGGTCATTAATATTGGTGTCATTTGAAAGCACCTAATTAGTGAAGTATGCATACCAAATATGAAGTTTCTACCTTTCATGGTTCAAAAGTTATGGCAAAGGTTAAAGTTTGGGGACAAACAAACAAATAAACAAACAAACAAACAGTTTCAATATATAGGACAAAAACAATATATGATCTACGGATCTATCGATCCGGGCGCATAAAAATAACAAATATACAAGGTTAAAGACATCTGATTACCACTTTATACTAGTATACTGGACTAACTGTGAAACAGTTTGTTACCAACTCTGAATATCTTCAACAACAATGGATTCAAAGACATTGAATATATCGTTCGATGGCAATTCATATTTTTTTTTTGTGTAAAACATCAGACTAATTTAAAAAAAAAAATTAGGCTTCCAAATACTATACAGAACCTTACAACCTCCACGTTTAGAATTAACATACCATTCTATCGAAATATCTCGAAATATTTCATACAATATACTCTACCTGGCCTGTTGGTGAATTTGAATTCAATTTCTTATGATATTCTTGTGTGATAATCCACTCAAAAGATATAGTATTAGTATCCAATTCAGTGACAGATTTTGATTTCTTGAAGATAACACTAGGAAAAGACCAGAATACCTCTAATCACCAATCAATGACAGCTACTATTGCAGAAGACTGAGGCTGTCTCGGTACGCATGTGCACTTCGTCAGATTATAAGCAGCTCATATTTTTGACAGAATTCAAAGAGAAACTGACACAATGTTGCGACAAATACCCCATTCTTTGGAACAAGAACCTACTGAAAAGGTTTCAAATATATATCGGATGATTTAAACAATTCATAATGATCTACGTCTGCTATCGATCCGTGCAGAACTGCCACATCAATACATTGTTAAGAAAACTTTAAAAGCTCAAACAATGAATTCTAATGCCGTAAAAAATAGAGAGATGGCGAGCCCCATTGATCCGAAATGGAGTTAGAAAAAGGAATCGACAAGGCGGTCATCACGTACAATGAGACCATTAAAAGTGCAGACAGCACGTTTTTGTGCTATCAAGTAATTAGTTCTTTACAATAAGGAAATGTACATGTTGGCATTAAAGGAACTCTTCGATAAATTAAACGAATCCTGATTGTGGCTCCAGTTTGATATACAAGAAACTAATTTCGAGTCTTTATTGAATTTCTTGCTTTCAATTGGAATGAAAATCATTCTGTGTGCCTTTTAAATTGTCTCTGGCATTTGCGAAAAGATTAAGCTGCATTGAACATATTATGTAACAGAGAAATTGTCCGCAGAATAAATTATTTTCAATTTAGACATATTCCTGAGTGCAAAATACACCTATTTAGAATTTGCCCAATGCTTTTTGGTTTCAGCTTTAGTACCAAACCTGAGCTATTAATTTCTAGTTCGCCATACTAAGCATTGAAGGTTTCTCCTACTGTTTGATGTGTTCATGCCCTCGAGTTGAGTGCATGTACTTTTCTGTTGTCGGTCTGTTTAGCTTTTTTATGGATATTTGATTGTTCAGTGTTTTGCTTTTTAACCCTCGTGTCTGCACGCCCTCCATTTAACTTTTTCCATTTCTAGACAATGAGGTTGACAGTTTTTATACTGGCAACTGAAATCTTGTTATGCAATTTGGCAATTTATCACCACAACCATTTCTTTCCCTACTACATAACGTTAGAGTACCAAAAATAGTAAAGGCATCATGCCAAGTGCTTTTTTCGTATACCCTTCCATCGTGCCGTATATTGCTCACTTTAATTGTTATTACCATATTGTAATAATTCCTTTCAAATGGTAACCTGAAGAACATATAGAAGTTTGGTTAAACACTTTCACATTTAAAATCTAGGTTTAAATCATAAGTTTAACAGGTAACTTTTATTTTTCTTTTACAGAGCTTTCATCATCCATATTTGGATTTTACTAAAGTTATTTTAAAAAGTATGCATCTGATAAAAGCTTTATTTTCCTTTGCTTGATTCCTAATACATAGGTGTTGAAAAACTTATAGTCCCCGTGTCAATAGGTCAAAATATAACTACATTGCTTTTTCAGCGGCAATGGTGGCGCCTCAATGTGAGTAAAAAATCTGGAAGGGACGTTAAACACACAAACAGACACTTGACATTTAACCTTTCGAAGCTGCTTTGAGATAGTCCTGCTTTTTGACTACAACTTCGAATAATATGAGCAAAACTTAGACAAAATGATCCGGATATTTCAAAGTAATGCGCCCAGCCTACCTGACAATGGAGAAGAAGATTTTGTGAATGGATCATCCCTATACAGTTTCCGAATTGTCTCCAAATCCTCCATTTGCAATATATAAACCTCGACCAAAATGAACAAGGTAGATACCAAAAAAATCACATGTGATTATACTTGTGGGCCCTCGAACGAAACCGATATATATTAATCAAACTACTTTAGGATGAATGACTAATCAAGGCCCCAAAAGTCGACCACGATAATCCTCTTATAAAAACAATTTGATAAATGTGTAAGGTGCATACCATTCGCAGGAAAGAGTATCCGACTTTTGGAATTTAGCACCGATTAGTTTTTGGCATGAATTCTTGCTACCTCGCTGCTCTAAGATTGTTTACATGTGTGACACAGTTCTAACAAACAAGGAAAGGTTGTAGCTCAATAAAATTTAAAAGATACTTCAATAAAGCAGTGACACAAATCCGCTAATGATAACTGCAAAAGATAATATTAGTTACCCGTCTTTATTGCTACATTTTTAAATGTTTATACACACACGGTTCTAACCCTGGAGCGGTTTTTTAAATTTTCAACGACAATTTAGAATTTGAAATATTTGCATTGCTTTTTAAAAATTCTAAATGATCTTTATTTTCATAGTTTATTTTATCATGCATGAAAGCTACTACTCAGAGTCAACGAGATTGATTTGGAAGATAGTAGAATTAAAGTAAATTTTAAGAGTGGAATGGAATGATTGGGTTATTCTTTATAATTATTTCAAACCAACAACTTCAAAATAAACGACGTAGAACTCATTGGATTCCTTTACGAACAAAATTGGATATCAAAGCTTAGGTCTGATCATTAAAATGATTTCCGTGGAATATATTGATTTAGTGGACTCTTTAAATAACAGAAATCGCGTCATTTAAAAAATGCCCTATATTACAATGTCAATCATTTTATGAATTTAAAAGATCACAGGTCCATATACTAGTATTTGTAATGTAATGGAAAGGTCAAGACACAGATAAAGTTGACCATTAAATTCACATACAGAAAAAAAGAAGGAAAAATAAACTACATGTAGGTGCTGTCAAAAGACAGTACATGTAGTACCCACATAAGGGCATTAGTGTTAAAACCCGAAATATTTATGCAGTCAAAAGGTAAAATAGAGAGTGCACAATAGCACTATGTAGCAATGATTCTGTGAAAGCATTCAGCTGTAAAAGACATTCTTCCATTGCTTCTTCATAGGCTTTTACAAACTTTTCGTATCTTTCGTTGTTACTCTCATCAGCCTTTTGAAATCTATTCTCCACGGCGACTGTGCAATTTTGCTGAAGCTCAGGGTTGTTGGAGAACTGTTTCAAGCGTGCTTGACTTTCTGAGCTGTCTTTGAGGTTCTCAGACTGAGCTTGATCTTCACAGACACTATTCTATAGTCAAACTTCACTATGCTGAAGGAGTTGTACGCTTCTGCATTATGAACGCTACACTGAAAGAAAAACCTAGTTAATTTAACTAGTGTGTTTCGTAAAGCGTTGGTCGTGATTAGTAAACTTTCAGTTTACTGGTTAAGATAGTGAGTTGTGGAGCGGGGGTCGTATAGATACTTAGATACCTAGTGAAAGTTACTCATCAATTCTAAATTTTATTAATCTTATCTAGTAAATATACTAATAT